ATTTTGTTCTCCGAGTTTTGCTCCATTTTGCTCCACTATCGGCGAGTTTTGCTCCATTACCAGGAGAGACCTACAGAGCTTCCAAGAATCTCTCCCAGCCCCCCCCCGGTGAAAATTTTGAAATTTGATCATGCTCATTTTGTTCTCCGAGTTTTGCTCCATTTTGCTCCACTATCGGCGAGTTTTGCTCCATTACCAGGAGAGACCTACAGAGCTATCCAAGAATCTCTCCCAGCCCCCCCGGTGAAAATTTTGAAATTTGATCATGCTCATTTTGTTCTCCGAGTTTTGCTCCATTTTGCTCCATAATCGGCGAGTTTTGCTCCATTACCAGGAGAGACCTACAGAGCTCCCAAAAATCTCTCCTAGCCCCCCCACGGTGAATTTTTTTAAATTTGAACATGTTCATTTTGTTCTCCGAGTTTATTTGCTCCATAATCGGCGAGTTTTGCTCCATTACCAGGAGAGACCTACAGAGCTCCCAAAAATCTCTCCTAGCCCCCCCCCGGTGAAATTTTTTAAATTTGAATATGTTCATTGTGTTCTCCGACTTTTGCTCCGTTTTGCTCCATTGTCGGCGAATTTGCTCCATTACCAGGAATGACTTAGAGAGCTCCAAAGAATCTCTTCTTGCCCCCCAGTGAAAATTTTGAAACTTGAAATTTCGAGTTAGTCCGAAATACTCCGCCTCCAATTTTACACATTCGAGCGAACATAGTTTCTCAAGCTGCTTTCACTTTCCTCGCCTGTTTCCCCTGAAGCACCACTGTAACTGATTTTCAAGCGTTCGAGTGCAAAGCGCATTGAGTATAATGGGCGTGAAATGCTCGTGCTTCGCACACTGCACCCGAAAGCGGAATGAACTAGACAGCTCCCAGGAATCTCTCCTTGCAACACGTGTGAAAATTTGGAAGTTTTGCTCCATTACCTGGAATGACCTACGAGCTCCTATAATAAGAATCTCTTCTAGCCCCCTTACACCAGTTAAAATTTTGTTTGATCATATTCATTCTGTTCTCCGAGTTTCGCTCCGTTTTGCTCCATGATCGGCGAGTTCTGCTCCATTACCTGAGCCTGAGCTGCTTTTGGGTGCCACGCTTTGAGCAATCAGGCGCTCTGAAGCTGCTCTCATTTTCCTCGCCTCTTTTTCCTGATGCACCTGTACCTAACTGACTTTCAAGCATTTGAGTGCAAAGCGCATCGAGTATAACGGCTATGAAGAGAACGGTGGTCCCTGGTTTCACTAGCTTTGTTTGTTTATTCGTACCAACAAGGCACCAACCGACACTTTCTACACCAAACGTGTTTGTTTATCCAAGGTTTATTCCTATATTTTTTTTTTGTATGGGTCTGACAGAGACAAACTGTCTTTTTGGTGCACCTGGTGCAGACTGGTGTAACTTTGGTACAAATAGACAAACAGAGCCCGCAAGAAGCCCTGTTAGTTAAAACTAATTTCGATCCTTTTTTTTTTCACGTGCTTCTAGAAAAAGACAGAAATAGTCTAAGTACGCACTGAATTTACAAATGGGAATCGCTTGCAAAAATAGTTATTTATGTCATAAATAAATACCGATAATCAAGCTCGTTTGCTCGAGCGCCCATGTTCGGAGCAGTGAAATGTGTTCCGAATGATTTTATATTGACATGACAGTGCAAATCGATGAGACAAAGATAGCGCATATTTTCAAGTGAACAAATTTGACAGACGTCGTAAATTATAGGGACAGCCTTTTATTTTTCCGAAATAGCTATTTATGGCGGTGATCTTTTTATTAACTGTCAGTAATGTACCCAGTTACTTTTGGTTACGATGGTATTTGCTGCAAATCGTTCCAAAATCAAAATTCAGCTTACTGATTTACTGGCTTGGTAAGCAATTGGTGAATTCAAAAACTTGGCCTTCCTTCAAGAACCCTAAATCTTAATAGAATGGCTTATCTAGCTGAAAGTGTCTGCCATGTTCACGCGAAAACTCCCCACCATTTGTGTCATTTTGACGTCAATGTAGACCTCAATACTTCAGTGACGTCACGACTAGTCGAAAGGCGAACGTACGCCTTATGCCTCATTCTCACTTGCGCGAAATTCGCTCTTCTTTTGACATTGTTTCGACAATTTGACGTTTTATGCGTGTATCAAACGTCAAATTGTCGAAGCAATGTCAAAAAAGAGAGAATTTTGCGCAAGTGAGGCTTTATGGGGAAAAGCCATCCTGTTAGTTGAGGGTTGTTGGCCTTCCTTTATCCAATTTTCTTGCTCTTTCTTTCTGTTCCAAACCGTTCCTTGTTCACTTTGGCGCAGAACGAGTTTATCTGACGGCCGTTCCCATATTACATTAGTTGTATTCCTTTCACACCTAGGAGGAGCTCCGGAACAGCTCCGGGGCGTTACGCGCTTATTCCTTTCGACAAGTGTTTGTTGCACCCCGCATCTTTCCCTTTGAAATCATGTTGACTAACACCGGAGCGAGTAGCTCGAATGTTCCAAACTCTTGAAAGGAATACAACTATTATGAGTATAGTCCGCCGCAAAAATATTGAAGGACCGAAGGAGTGCGACCGCGAACACACACAACTCCTACGCATTATTTGTGTAGTTCATTCTAGAGTTGCTTTCATGTGCAGTGTGCGAAGCACCTGGAGCATTTCACGCCCATTAGGCAATTTAAACCACGTGACATTCAAGATGGTGTGGCGGTCACACATGGGCCAAAAAACACAAAAAAATATCTAGTTTCTGCCCGATTTAATAATTTAGGTACCTAGTCAACAAATATTTTATTAAATAATCAAAATCAAAGTTGCAAACAAAGCTCTAAGCAAAATAATTTGAAATACGCATAAAAACATATTCAAAACAAACTTGCTTGACGGCCACGCCATATTGAATTTTTCATTTTGACAAATGGATTAAATTGCCTCATTATACTCAATGCGTTTTGCACGCGAACGTTTGAAAATCAGTTACAGGTGCATCAAGGGAAACAGGCGAGGAAAGTGAGAGCAGCTTGAGAGCGCCAAACTCTGTTCGCCCGAATGTGTAAAATTGTAGCCGAAGTACTTCGGCCTAATTCGAGAGCGTTGAGCGCTCAAAGGGTGGCACCCGGAAGCGGCTCGTCATGGAGCAAAACGAGCTGATCATGGTGCAAAATAGAGCAAGACTCGGAGAACAAAATGAATATGATCAAATTTCAGAATTTTCACTGAGGGGGCTGGGAGAGATTCTTGGGAGCTCTGTAGGTCTCTCCTGGTAATGGAGCAAAACTCGCCATTAATGGAGCAAAACTCGCCGATAATGGAGCAAAACGGAGCAAAACTCTGAGAACAAAATGAACATGTTCAAATTTAAAAAAATTCACCGGGGGGGACTAGGAGAGATTTTTGGGAGTTCTATAGGTCTCTCCTGGTAATGGAGCAAAACTCGTCGATAATGGAGCAAAACGGAGCAAAACTCGGAGAACAAAATGAACATGTTCAAATTTAAAAAATTTCACCCGGGGGGGGGGGGGGGCTAGGAGAGATTTTTGGGAGCTCTGTAGGTCTCTCCTGGTAATGGAGCAAAACTCGCCGATAGTGGAGCAAAACTCGGAGAAGAAAATGAGCATGATCAAATTTCGAAATTTTCACCGGGGGGGGGGGGGGGGGGGCTGGGAGAGATTCTTGGAAGCTCTGTAGGTCTCTCCTGGTAATGGAGCAAAACTCGCCGATAGTGGAGCAAAATGGAGCAAAACTCGGAGAACAAAATGAGCATGATCAAATTTCAAAATTTTCACCGGGGGGGGGGGGCTGGGAGAGATTCTTGGAAGCTCTGTAGGTCTCTCCTGGTAATGGAGCAAAACTCGCCGATAGTGGAGCAAAATGGAGCAAAACTCGGAGAACAAAAATGAGCCTGATCAAATTTCAAAATTTTCAACGGGGGGGCTGGGAGAGATTCTTGGAAGCTCTGTAGGTCTCTCCTGGTAATGGAGCAAAACTCGCCGATAGTGGAGCAAAATGGAGCAAAACTCGGAGAACAAAATGAACATGTTCAAATTTAAAAAATTTCACCGGGGGGGGGCTAGGAGAGATTTTTGGGAGCTCTGTAAGTCTCTCCTGGTAATAGAGCAAAACTCGCCGATAATGGAGCAAAACGGAGCAAAACTCGGAGAACAAAATGAACATGTTCAAATTTAAAAAATTTCACCGGGGGGGGCTAGGAGAGATTTTTGGGAGCTCTGTAGGTCTCTCCTGGTAATGGAGCAAAACTCGCCGTTAGTGGAGCAAAACTCGGAGAACAAAATGAGCATGATCAAATTTCAAAATTTTCAACGGGGGGGGGGGGGGGGGCTGGGAGAGATTCTTGGAAGCTCTGTAGGTCTCTCCTGGTAATGGAGCAAAACTCGCCGATAGTGGAGCAAAACTCGGAGAACAAAATGAGCATGATCAAATTTCAAAATTTTCACCGGGGGGGGGGGGGGCTGGGAGAGATTCTTGGAAGCTCTGTAGGTCTCTCCTGGTAATGGAGCAAAACTCGTCGATAGTGGAGCAAAACTCGGAGAACAAAATGAGCATGATCAAATTTCTGAATTTTCACTGGGGGGGGGCTAGCGTTAATTCAGCCCCCCCCCCCCCACCTAATAGGCCACATAGTCTCTCCACTGTAATGGAGCAAAAATCGAAATTAGTGGAGCAAAATGGAGCAAAATGAGAGCAAAATTATGGGATAATTTTCATCCAGAAATTTTCTATGGGGGGGGCTAACTTAACTGACCCCCTACGCTACGTACCCCATCACGACAGGATAAAATTTTGAAAATATTCTCTGCCCTTTCTGCTCGTGGGGCAATATTGGAAAACCTTCAAAAAGATTATTATGTATTTGGAAGGTTGGTAGAAATGGAGAAAATCTTTTATCTTGTTTGGCAACTCAGAAATGGCATTAGCAGAGCTTTGTTTATCAACAATATTAGCAGTCTTTAAAATGCACCTTATTGTCTAGTGAAATAAAAACATAAGAAATCTCTTAATAAAAATCTCTATTTTCACTAAACAAAAATAGCCTTATCTGATGTAACATAGCTACATTGTATGTTTATATTATGAATTTCAAGATAATAAAAATAATGCTGTTTTAAATGCCTCACATAAAGCTATGTCTTTAAAAAATAATTATAGAGTAGAGGTAATAGGTTTAGAACGTTTCGACCATATATTTGGTCTTAAAATGTTTGTATGGCAAGACACGAACGGAAAATTCCTAGGCATAGATCATATTATTCTAAACCGAATAACACAAATTTCCCTGGATACACATGGCATGAGAAATGTGAATGAAATAAAAACGCAGTAAAAAAAAAATTATAAAAAATAACAAAAAAACAGGCAGTAATTAATTAATCTGTTAAAGCCATTATTAGTGCAAAGGATTTACATCATGCCTATTTTTTTTTATCAGCAAGGGCGTTTGACGTCAATCCAGGGAAATTTGTGTTATGCGGTTTATGATTTATGTCTAAGAATTTTTCGTTTGTGTCCCATCATACATTTTAAGACCATTTTTTTGTTTGTAGCCTGTGAAAAAGACCAAATATATGGTGGAAACGTCGGCATAATGTTTTAACAAAAAGGAATTTTATTTCCAAAATCCATTATCTCTACTCTATCTCAAACACTTAGGACATTATCTGTAAAGATGAAAAATAATTATGTTTAATTATTTTAAAATATAAAGATCCCTGAACCTTTTAGCACACTATGAAATGTATTTTTAATTTTAATAGGGATTCTTATAGAAAAGAAAATTACAATTTTCTATGTGGTCAACACAGTTTTGCTTGCAAATTCTAATCCACAGAATTTGTTAGAAACTCAATAGGTCTCTATAATATGAACCATTTTGATAAATGTATTTATGAGATTAGAGCTTAACAGAATCACATGATGGGCAACACTTACTAACAATTAAACATTGTCATTCACATTTAAGTATGATTTTTAACAAATATAAGTCCTACATAATAAAAATTCAACTAGCTTTTTACATACAATATTTTTGATGATTATACCAATAATCTTGAATATATTGCGATATATTTTTAACATTTATAACAATAAAAAAAAGTTAGAGATATTTTAACAAGTCTTTTAAAGTACAGATCACAATTTTTGATTTTTAAAATAAATATTTTTTATAATAATGTATTTCGTGTATGAACAATATGCATATTATTTAATACAATTTCTTTAGGATACAGAACTATAATGAATACAAACTATTAATTCGAGATAATTATAGAACACCAATCTACTTTGAACTTTTCATAAAAGCTTCATATAGAATAGTGGCTTTAAAAAAATACTTAGTTAATACTGTTTACAAGAACTAGTTTTTTTTACTGCTCTAGAATCCTGACATTTGTTAAACATAAAAATTACCCAAACTGCCAGTTCATGATATTTAAATATTTGTATTAATTTAGTGATTCAACACCAATTTTAACTACTTCAAACTTATTTTTATTTTTAGAGTTGGTACATAAATTCATGAAAATATACATATAGCTTAAAACAAAGACGTACTGTCCTATAGATTGCACTTTATATTTTTGTCCATATCTGAAAATAAAACAATAATAAAAATTTGATATTGTTTATACCATGAATATCTTCATGCAGCTCAATGGGAAAGGAAAGGAGATTTATGGACTACAGAAAACTAATGAAATTATAAACTAATTAGCTGCAAAATCAATCATGAGGCCTTTCAAAGATAATCTCTTTGTAATATCCTCAGTAAATTCTGGCCGATTTGAATTATATTTTCGAGCAGCAACACTGAATCTGAGATCGAAAACTCCAGAGAGGAAGATACAATATTAAAATTTTGGATTAATACATGTGATACAATTGCAAACTGTAATGGAATAAAAACTATGATAAAAAAATTACATAGGTACCATTGATTGAAATTGGAGATACCTAATCTGGTAATCTTCAAATCTTGTTAACAATCCTAAAAATAGTATTTTTCTTTAAAGAAGCCATTCAAGAATCCATATTACTAATGGGTGTTACAGATAACACTGGTTTTGGTAGGTGATATCGTTTGGTACTCAACGATCTTTCAACTGGTAGGGGATTATCTGGAGAAATAGGATACGATGTTGCTCTTTTGGCTGACCTAAAACACAATACAATGTATTAAAGGGGGAAAAATAATAAACATATTTTTTTTATATTTAAAATTAATAGTTGGGACATTTTTAGAAAGATGCACTAGATAGTTAAAACAACCATATACAGAATCTACTTTACAAAAGCTGTTCAAATTACAGAATTACTAAACATTTAATAAATCCAAACATAATTTCATTATAAAAGAAAACATCTTTTTTGGATCAGGATATTTGGTGAGTTGTGAGCATCTCCGGTAAAGGTAAAAGGTAAGTGACGATTCAGGGATCATTATGCATCAATCATCTGACTTAAAATTAACAAAAACACTACAAAAACGACGTGTTGGTGCACCAAAAAAAAAACGAGGCGGCCATAAATATGTGATACAATATCAGGTTGAACGCCATTCAATAGTATATTACATACCGAGGTGGGAAGTGTTTCATTACTGTCGAGAGATTAGTTAGTTAACTGAGACGCTTCGCGTCTCAGTTAACTATAATCTCGAGACAGGAATGAAACTTCCTATCGAGGTTTGTATACTATTTTATTTACAACAATTACAACCATTACAATTTTGACTAAATATTTTTAAAAAATTAAAAAATTTTATAGACAAGTTCTGACTTATCTAAAAAAACGTTTGACATGTAGGACTGGTCTTCAACATTTTAGGAAAATAGGACTTACTTTCCACCCGGGTGGAAAGTGAGCACTTTCCACCCGGGATCACTTTCCACCCGGGTGGAAAGTAAAATTCAAAAAAGTTTCACTTTCAAACTTTTGAAAAGTCAGAAATGTCAACATTACCTATGTGGTTGTAAATAAAAATAATTACCATCCCTGTTTATTACATGTGACTAACATAAACTTTGCGTTTCAAAAAAGCAGCTGTTGCCACTGCTACGCAACTTCTGGCAGGCGACGAAATGCCTCCCTGGTCGTAACTAAAAAAACATCTTCACATAAAGAATGGATGCGTTATTTGAATACCTGAGTTTTAATTGAAAAAAAAAAACACATCAACAAACAATGATACAAAAAAATCTCACCTCCTTCTTCTACTTATAGTTTGTCCAGGCAAACCAAAATAGCCTCTGGGAATGACCATTCGTGCGTTTCCTTGCGCAGGTCGCGAGCCTCCGTGAGACATTAAAGTTGCCAGGTGCACTGCATAACCTTCATTCAAGACCGTAGATTGACTTTGTTGTTTCTTGGAAGCCTTTCCCACTACATATATTTGTTTCGGCTTTAGTCCGATACTTGTGTAAACGGTAATGTCTTTTGCGCTGCCATAGGCTGCATGTATTATTACGCCATGATTCTGTATAAAATTATTCAATTTAATACAATATGAGATTTTGCTATATTGTGGCATAAGTATACCAAAGTCAGACTTTACCTGAATTAGATTATTAAGATAAGCTGCTTTGTGACTTAACGGATCAGTTGTAAAGCCATCAGCAAAAGAAACCAACCCATGGGGAAAGTTGTGTTGTGACAACCATGAAACCACTTTTCGGTGTTGCATATCGGGTCTTCCAGTTATGTAGATAATTAAATAGCCCAACTCTTGCCAGTGCCTGATAAAAGAATGCTATTGGAATAATGATTGAAAAATTGGATATCTATTTACCTCACAACGTCCACTGCACCTGCTCTCACTTTAGGGTCTCTCCCAGTAACCGAGACACTTGCTGTAAACGAACCATCTATACTGAAAACGATGGTTTCTGTTTTTGGTGGGACTACTGTTAAATAGAAGTCCACTGATGTATGGTCCCCTCTCACAATCATCTAGAAAAGAATATGTTATTTAATTTTAATGAAAATTGTGGCTATATTGATTTATATCGCTAGGCTCATGATAGTTGAGAAAATTGAGTTTGATTCTCAAGACAAAATTTTGACTAAAGTTCAACTTCGGAGCTTGATAGCTTGGAAACATCAGGGGGACTTTGAGACCAAACAACTTTTGTGTTGTTTGATCTTTTTTTTTTGGTAAACCTGGAAGAAAAAAGCGGGTCAAAATATAGCGAATGCACTTACCTTTATAGGATACAATCCATATCCCACACTTTGAGCCTCAGGAATCGTATAAGAAACTCTACCAGCTTTATCAGTGACTTCTGTTGATAACAACGTCCATTCTCCGGACGGAGGGTCCTTCATTATGTGAATATCCACTTTCTCACCGGTCAAAGTAATCATATCTAGAGGCCCGTACTTGAAACTGGCTGTCAAAACTTGTGGTGCGGTCTCACGTACTATTACATCGTTGGCCCGATGATTTGCAGTAACATTCTAAAAAATATTCAGAAATTACAAATTTTTACTACTCATTACAGTTTTCAAACCTTTAATTTCACAGAAGTTCTCTTCTTATTCCATTTTTCTCTCGGCTGGCCAGGTCTAAAGGTACTCTCTCTACCTTCATCCATGCCTCCACCACCGGAACCGCTATCTATTCCACCAACTTGCCTCAAAATAAATGCAATGACATCACAACTTTCCCAATAACTGGCATGGAATAAATGGGGAAGAGCGTTAGTTGGAAAATTTGACAGTCCTTCTGGGCAATAGAGAGCGTAATCTAGACGTTTTCCTCCCCACCATTTTTGTTGCACTGCAAAAATATTAACAATCATAGAAATAATAAAACTAGCTACTTATACTTACAATTATTAACTGTAGTAAGTGGAATAGATTCTATCATGCCAGATACTGTACTTTGAATTGAAATTTCAGACAAACGTCTCGGCTGAGCTTGGTCATTAAATAGTTGTGGATTAGTTTGCAAAATTTCCACTAAAAAAAAAGGATTTTCATTCTAAAAGTAAATTATTTTAATGTGCACTTACATAAATGATAGGGTTGTCCGTTGCCCAAAGGATATTTTGCATATCTTGGCACATTAACTGGAGGTAGAATAGAAAATCTTGCTGACAGTAGCGGCTCTAGCCTAGATGCTACAGGATCAGTTGGATGGAACATGTTGTGGACCTGAATACACGGTGGACGGTTTATGTTTCCTGTAAAAAGAAGGTAAAAACAATATTAAAATAGAATAAAATCATTTTGACTGATTCTCACCTGATTTTTCATCTGGCGCAGATATTTTTCTATAGGCAAGCACCAATGCCAAAGGACTGCCAAATAGGAAAAAGTCGGATACTTCAAATTCGAGTTTTGCATGATAGTCAATGGTGGATGATAATCTTCTTGGATTGAATGTTGTTAAAAAAGGGTCATTTATATATTCATCTAAAACAAATATTTCACTATTTAAATATACTGAGTGAGTAATCTTACCTTTGTGGTCATTATCTAATACACTATTTTCACTTAGATGTCTAGTATGTGTATAGGAATTATTTGTTCTACACAAAGCATCGTAGCCTAAAATTGATCCTAGAGAATCTGATACAAAACATATTTGCCCATTGAATCCTTGACCTTCTTCAGATCTTACGAATTCTAGAAAAGAAATGTCCATTTACTGTCAGACTAGTTTCATTGGGAATTTATCACCTTGGTAAACAGAATTAGCAGCATTGATTGTCCGAGACACAATTTCCTGATAATCAGAGGAACCCGTAGCTAGGATGGGAATTGCTCCAATTGGTATGGAATCATGTGTCACTTGAGGAACATCTACACAGGATGGAGATACATCAAAACTATATGGACTAAGACTGAAACAAAATTTATTGATCACATAAAACATTGTACAGACTTGAGAATATAATTATTCATAATTGTGCAACAGAATCTTCCATAAAAACATTAAATAACTTACACAGGATGGTAACTTACCTAGATAATATTCCTAAGCTTTCTGTACATACAGAAGGGCAAGATACCAACCTAATTGCTATATGTCCCACAAGAGAAGGATAATGTTGGCGCATAACGGATTCAAATGCCCCTTTGAAAGTCGTTACGTCCGACTTTTTGGCAGACATATCTACGTTAGCATCTAAAATAAAGAGTTGAATATCATAAGTACCACATACTATTGGTTTTTAGGCAGACTTATCAGTTAAATGCGTTATAAATTATAGGTTCCTGTTTGTATTTTACTAGATCAACACACTTGAAACATTCTTTGGGCCTAACAAGATTTTAACAATATTTTCAGTTTTCATTGATAATTAAATGTTACTAACCCAAAACACTTCCAGCATGCAGCACCAATATTAACACAGTAGTATTGCAAGGAACATGAGAAGGAGTGGCACAAGGTGAACCAGGTCTTGAAGTATCCACTGAACCAATTTTGCCTTTTTGCATAGCTTTTCTAGTGCCTCTTTCACTGGATACTCTTTGTAGGAATGATGGAGAAAATATACTGTCATCTGATTGGTCTGAAATGAGAAATTAATAATATGAAAATAATATATAATAAAAAATAAAATGAAAGCTTACCATTTCCACTATTATCAATGTATGTAGGAGAAGAGGCATCTAAATCTTCTTCCAACAAAAGATCCAATGAGCTCCATTTAGCCAGAGAAGCAGACTCTATGAAAATATTTTATTGTAAACGGTTGTAATTTTTTAATGAACAGTTATCCTATACCTTCACAGTCAAAAAACTCTTCATCGGAGCCTGAATCAGAATCTCTGCTGAGAGTCTCAATTCGCCAGTTGGCAACTTGTAGATCGAAACTTTTGACAGACGAGCAGCTGGGCGAATGCAAATTCCTATGAACTCTTTTATCATCACGTCTAAATGAAATAGATATTTTGTCAATGTTTTTTTTGTTGTTGCATTTATTGATTGAGAGTTTTTACCTTCTTGGTACAGTCACATTATCATCATCTGACCCTTCAGCATCAGAACTAGCAGCTGTTTGTATCCTTGGAATGTTTGTGTTTTTTGATAGCAATGGACTGTCCTCTGCTACTTCAATACTGCCAAGAGTGGCTGCCAAAGTCTTACACGAATCTTCCTTGGACGTACTATTATTCAGATTGTCGTCTTCGTCTTTGAAAAAAAAAATTCAAATAAGTCCAGATTGGTTGGACTGGAGGCTTTGATTAAATAATATCCAATTGCCAACATATAAAGCAAGATAAACTTATAAAAGGTTCACAGGACTTTGCTTTATAAATCTTATGGGAAATCGTTAATTCTAGCTTCAACAGTAATTTGGGTTGTAACTAAGAAGCCAAAAGTTTACTACAATAAAGGTAATAAAAAGTCAATTAAAAACTCCATCAGGAACATATTGGACAGAATAGAAAGATGTCACAATCTGGCACCAAAAAAATATGTAGGTATATGAAGAATCAAAATTCACAATTTAAAATTAGTATTTCAAGGTCATTCTTACCTATTTCATCCTCTTCCACTTGTCCCATTTTTCTCTTCAAAGCCAATTGCGTCTGCTTCTCAATTTCTCGTATGTCTTCCATATTGAGCCCGTGCCATTCATCTTGCCATGCCCAAGCTTGTCTATGGGCTCGTAACATGGTTTTACGTAATGCTAAAATCATCATTGTTTTATTTTAAACTTTTGAAAGTATTATATCTACTAACCAATATCATGTATAAATTTCTCAATCTTTGTTTGCATTCCCCAATATCTAAACTCCACTCTACACAGTTTGTAGGCACACATCATGGATTTTCCAGAAGGTGTAGGTTGTGGCTTGCCATGAACGTCACTCCAATATTCGTCTACCCAGTTATCCGACAATGGCCCACGTCCCGATTTTTCCGAGACATAAACAACAGGATCTTCAGTCGGGACATAATCTGCACCATATAATTGGTCTTTGACAAAATCAATCACATCTAAAAACAAGTTTTGTATTTTTACCAACCCTGTATAGGAATTTTATCGAGCGTACCAACAATTCTATTTCTTAGATCGCTGCCAGACAATTGAAATACATTTTCTTGATGTCCTTTGTCCGGAAAATAATAGGTTTCTATTTCCAAATAAAATTTCTCGACAAAGGGGCACGTGTACCTGGTTTTGGTGTAAGGATATGCATTCCAGGCCTCTTCTTCTACCATTAGGGCGGTTTTTGGTAATATACTTTTGATCCATCCTAGAATTTACTTTGATATAATTATATCCTGCAATTACAGTCTAATGTAATTCAGGATATGCAAACGATTGAATGTTTTTGTACATTAAATTAAATACCACTAAATTGAAGTGATCTTAAACTGCTAAAATTAATCAAAATCTACATTTTGATGTGCTGCAAACCCAAGCTGGTCAAAATAAATTTGCCATACTATAGCACACTTTTGGATGGATTTTTGTTGTAAACTACCAATTTTCCAGGGTTTTCCATTGGAAGAAATTTCGTTTCCTAGACCTAAACTCTATAGAGTTTGTTGCAAGGTTTATCAACATTTTCTGTATAGATACCCAAGTATTTGTTAAAGTAAACTTACCTGGCAAATGGCTACCAACGTGATATATCTTTTTTGTGTATTGACCTTTTCCACCAGGTCCATTTTTATATGGTTCGTTGATTAGGATCTCTACTCCGCTGCCTTGCCCACTACTTTCCTCGCGACTTTTTTTCTAAAAGAAAATTGAGTCACATCCAGATTGAGCCAAAAACACAACACAAATCACAATTGAGGTAAACTAAGATTGTTGTATTTTTGTTATTTGTACTAAAATTGTCTTTGGAACAATTTTCCTACTTACTGCTATCATATAAAGCTGGGCTATTCGGTACTCTTCCACTGTGAGCGGCAAGGGGATGCGGTACTCCTTGATGAGCATGGCTGAGGGCCCAGGCCGGCTTAAGTTGTCGCCAGGCCAGGGCCCATACACATCTTAAAACTCAAATTTGTGTAATAACTGAAACCAAACGAAAAAAATATATAGGCTATATAGTTTCCAGATATCCAAGTTCAAAAATATCATGTTTATGCTTCCCATTTGATCTCAAAATAGTTTTCACTATGACGCTTGTAATAACACACATAAAATATTTGTAGCAAAGTGCTTTCAACATGTCTAAAAATGATTTAGAATAAGCTTTTAAAGAGTAGTGTTCAGTTTTTCGATTTTTAGAAGCAAACCTATTTATACTCTACGTAAGAATATCCCCCTAGAAAAAAATCCTAGACAAGTATTCATGGTATTTGAAAATCTGAGTATAAATATAGTAATTGTTTTCCAATATTCCAATTAGCTCAACAAATATTTCTATTGAAAGGCAAAATCTAGTTAGTCATAGAAATATAAATATAAAGTTTATAGTCTTAGCCTAATTTAAATTCAACGCCTGGTTTCTAGGACATAGTTGACGTCAAAGCAATTCTAGCTGAAGAACCATCGGAATAACTCCAGAGCTTAAACTAGATACTCAAGCCTATTAGGCTTTGTTCTGGATACAGAACAAGAATGAGGCATTGTTAGATTTTATTCATGTAATGTGGAATATTATTTTTTACAGAATATTGAGCATTTTAGAGCTGGGATGTTTTGTTGATTCTCATAAAGGACGATAAATGTCTCAGGATAAATTCTGATACCTCTCTTATAATGTTTAAAATAGGTACTATTTATCAAGATAAGAGTTTTGTTGGATATGCATTTAATACAAAATTTAAAGAATATAAAATATTTATAGATGGATGTTTAAAAACATCTCTCTCAGAATCCCAGTATAGATTTTATACCATCTTGAAAAAATAAATCTCTCTTTGAAAAAACTCGACTGCTAATAAAAATTTGTTTAGTAAGAAAATAATGATTTTCCTTGTAATTTTATTTGGTTTCTGGAAAAAATATCTTTGTTGTTTATGAACACAAGGCCCCAAGATTGTATTGCCTCCGGCTAAGCCATGAAATAATGCGCCAGACAAAGGATGTAAGATTGAAAATATATCTCCCGCTTCCATTATTTGAAATAATAAAAAATATAATGGATTATTTTTCCTTTCCATTTATATTAAATAAAATAAAATATTGGTTTTGTGTTGTAATATCATTTTCAGCGTAAATATTGGAAAGTCAATCTGAATCAATCAATATTTTATAAAATGAGGAAGTGTTAACGACCTAAATAGTTACTGAACAAAGTTCGCGGCATAATTGACTATAAAGTTGATTCCATTAAATTTTCAATAAATTCATTATACTTAGACATTAAATTGAACAGTTTACAAATTATATAGATTTTGAAATTGGCGCTCTTATAGACTAAACAACACAATGTTAATGTTATATCTTTCAGTGCTCAAGTATGCAAACTTGGCTTTAGCTTTAGCTAGCAATGACCAAATACCAGCACTTATGTCAGACAGGCTATGACGGGCCTGCAAGAAAAGTAGAACTAGATAAGGGGGCCCACAAGTGGTCACAGGCTTAGTTTAGTTTGATAGTTTTGTCTAATGTATCCGAGGGGCCTTAAATGTATCCGAGGGACATTAAAAGTGTTCAGTTCACAAAGTAGTTTTGCTCCCAATCTAAACATGGTGTCAGGTGTGGTTGCTTGATTTACCACCCAAAAAATATTTCAAAGTTTGAATCTCAATAGTTCATAAAAGTGCTAGAAATACCTACATATTGCGCTATCACAATGGAAATCTTCAAGCCACCCAGTCCTTTAACCGACTACGATATCAAGAATTGGACTCTGTGGAAACAGAAGTTTACAATTTACTTGAAAGCTGCAGGTAAAGAAAGTGTAGCTGAAGATGTAAAGATTGCAATATTGTTAAATTGCATAGAGGATGATGGTCTCTAATACTTTTGGGACAGATGAAACATCTACTTTAGAGAAGTGTCTTCATCCCTACGATGTCCGTTTTCTCCCAAAGAAAATCATTCCGATGGAGGCATCCAAGTTTAATAACCATCAGAGTCGAAGGGTAAGTCACCTTGGTATTTTATTGTACAAACACTTGGTAATTATTGGTATTTATAGGTATTTTTGGTATTTTTTTTGGTAATTATGGTATTTTTTGTGGTACTTCTGGTAATACTTGGTAATTATGGTAATTTTTTTGGTAGTATTTGGTATTTAATAGGTATTTAATTGGTATTTATCATGGCCGGAACACAATGCGCATGCGCGGCAACATATGACGCCATTTATTTTATTACCCAAAAAGCTTTTTGCATCGGGATTTCTGTTGAATAATTTATTGAAGGATTATTGGAAAATAAGAAAAATATAAGGAATATAATTATTTTATTATTAAAACATTATCTACAAATAATATTTTTACTTGTTTATTTCTGGTAGAGGTCATAGACGTGCGGTGTAGAGTGGAATTTAAGCTGTAATTTTAGCACAGCATAGAATTTTAGATACTGTGATTTTAGTGTATTCTTAGTGTTGTCATTTATGCTGTTATCATTCTTGTCAATTTAATAATATACAGCTGTATGCAACATCCTCTTTTAACTTAAAAGCACTTTTTAAAACTGGTACCTTTAAAAATTTGTATGGTTTAGAATACACATTTTTTAAAGTGACCAGTTTTAAAAAGCGCTTTTAAGTTAAAAGAGGATGTTGCATACAGCTGATAGTATTTTTAATACCTATTTAGAAGTACCAGTCGTTCTAATGACAAAACGTATGTCGCTTCTTGACACACAGATAAAATTAGGTTAGGAATTTTCCATGAAATTGACGTATTAGCAATCAACGTTCGTTTTTGTTGGTAATTTTTTGTTTCATCTGATTCGTGATTGATAAATAAGGATGGGGTTATTCTAAATGGGTATTAGAAATATTATAATAATAAATTGGTAATTATAAATATTATTATGTATAAGTAATAATTAAATTATTTTATCCCATTTTGACGTTTGGAAACGACATTATTGAACGCATAATAACAAAGGTAAGTAGAAGTTTATCACCTGAGTGACTTAAAATATTTTTAACTCACTCTCGGTCTTTTAAGTCACTCTGCTAGTATAAAAATCTGCTACAAATACAAACAAACAACTAGTTATACCCTAGCAACCACCAATTTCAATAATTAGCGCTTTCATAACCACTAAATGAATTCTTTTCATAATTTAATTCCTATTAAGTACCTTATTTTTCAAATGTCTATCAAAATGGAATAAAATTTTGTATAAATCACGTGAGTTAAAATGTTTATTAATTCGAAGAAAATTAACCCACTCGCCAGGGCTCGTGGGTTAAACTTTCTTCTCATGAATAAACATTCATTTAACTCACTTGGTGTATAAATAACTATTATCAGTTGATTAAATACTAAAAGTTCTCAAGCCATAACCAACGTTGTATAAAATTCCATTGTCTTCCTTCTAAATCAATAACTTTATTTAGAGCCAATACGACTCTGTGACACGAAAGAAAAAACCTAAATTATTGTTAATCAGGCCCTGTTTCGTATCCCAAAATGGCCGCTAGTGACGTCCCGACCATGAATTCTTTTATTACACGGGCTGTCACACGAGTTAGCCTGCAGATTGCAGCCCCACTTAGAGTATGCCAAGGAGTATGCAACAGCAGAAGTTTCTTAGATTCATGGATCCTTAACTTTTTGGTAATTATTGGTAGGTATTTCTTGGTAATTGATTTGGTAATTATCGGTATTGTATTGGTAATTATTGGTATTGTTTTGGTAATTATTGGTATTTTTCTGGTATTTATTGGACTTTTTTTGGTATTTATCAGTATTTTTGGTAATGTTTTTTGATATTTTTTGAAGAAAGTGGTAATTTATTGTACAAAATTTTAAGGGTGACTTACCCTCGATCAGAGTATTGAGCAGTACTTGACTGAACTCAAAAAGCAGGCCATATTGTGCGATTTTATTTGCAAAAAGCCAAACTGCGATACTAGTTATGAAGATCGCATGATAGGAGACCGCCTGATCATTGGAATAAGTGACAAATAGATTCAAGCCAGATTAATTAGAGAGGCAGATGTTGATGTAACCAAGATAATTGAGTATTGTAAGTCTGTTAGTTTAAGCAAGGAGCACTTGAAAACTTTAAATCCCGAGGAAGAAGTCAATTTTGTTAGAAAATCTCGAGAAAAAGCCCAGAAGATTGAATGTGGAAAATGCTCTTGTGAATATTGGGTTAACAGATGTCCAGCATATAGTAAAACGTGTGCTAAGTGCCAAGAAAAGGGACATTTCGCCAAATTATGTCCGAAGGACACTTTACAAGATAAGGCTATCACTTATCAGCAAGAAAACAGTATCTAGGAATGTAAGAGAACTTACAAAACAGGATGGTGAATATGAAGTCGATACAGAGGATTTATTTATTAATGAATATACCAGTACCAATGCCAGTACCCATGGAAGAGATACAAAGTCATGGTGTGAAAACTTGAAAATAGGAGGAAAACAGGTAAAATTCAAGCTTGATTCAGGTGCAGAGTGTACTGGTTTTGCCTTTGCATGTTTTTAAAAAGATAAAATGTTCAGGAGCATTAAAACCTTGTTGTACAATGTTAATTTCTTATGGAAATTTTAGATAACTTTACCTTGTAAATATGAAAATGTGAATTATCTTGCTAATTTTATAGTTGTAGGTAGACGCCCACACTGTACCCGAGACTGAACCTTTATTGGGACTGGATGATTATCTGAGGTTGAACTTGATTATTAAAAAAGGGTCAATATGGTTCAGATTCTACCAAAAAGTAAAAATGATATTTTTGAGGATCTAGGTAAGATTCCAGGTTTTTGTAAAATTGAGTTGACTGAAGATGCAAAGCCTGTGGTTCAGTATCAGCTATCAGCGCAAGGTACCTTTTTCTTTACATGAAAGGTTAAAAACAACTCTTGATAATTTAGAAAGTAAGAAAATAATTTAAAAGATTGACCACCTTACTAGTTGGGTTAATAGCC